CTTTATTCACACTCTCATTTGCTGTTGCGTCCTCCTTAAGATTTATTTCGTTCTCCAATAATTTATTCGTTTTTTCTGTTATCGTTTCTATTATTTCCAAATCTTCAGAATCCGATGCCGAACTACTTAATAAGCATATTTCATTGCATTCCTTATTAGCAAATTTATGAGAATCTTCTGATTCTAAAGATATGTGTGATTGTATGCTCTCTCTATCGCTATCCTCGCTCTCCACAGGAGAATCATGTTTTTTTTTAAATCTTCTTTCGCCTGATCGGAGTTATGTGGTTTTCCCTCTTCATCTGAGGACAATTTGAAGGTTAATATACCATTTTCATCTTCTTCGGCAGATGAACTATTTAGACTTATATTCAAACCGGTTTCGGAGTGCTCCGATAAACTAAGATCACTTGGTATTTCTACACTATCTTCCAATTCCTCCTTAACCATTTCTTGTTGTGCCCTTTGCTGTTGCTGTAGCAAATGATTCATTTGATTATAAGCCATGACAGCATAAGCCATATTGGGATTAACATAGTAACCCGTTTCATTTGGATAATCTTTGTAGTAATCTTCTGCATATTCTTCCTCTTTGACAGGCTTTTTAGTCTTTTCTTTTTGCGATGTTTATGCTTAGAATTCGAGCTACTACTACTTGACTCTGTTTCACTACTGCTACTACTGCTGCTTGAGGAGGACGTCGATGAGGAGAGGAAGAGGACGAGGAAGACTTTTGCTTTTTCTTGCGCCTTTTTTCTTTTTCTTCTTTACACTTTTACTTTTTTTCTTTGTGTACTCTTCTTCACTATCACTACTTATTATATTGGAACTCTCTGCATCACTAGGTCTTATTGGTCTCGCCTGATTTCTAAATTCTCGTCTCCTTTTTTTAGCCAATTCTTTAAGTTTTCTTTGACATCTTTGATGATTACGATCACTTTGTCGTTTATTGTGAGTCATCATGGAATTAATAGTTCGTCCTAGAAAACGTTATTTGGTTGCCCCAAGGGATTCTTTTTTCTTTCTGTGGGTATTTTTCCAAATTCCTTATACTCATCCATTTCACGCATTAGCTCTTCAATGGCTTTTCTAGAATTTACGATAAACGTTTAAATAAGAAATATATTAAATATTTGAACTGAAATTACTTTGTTAAATCGGCTTCATCCATTTTAAGTTAATTATTTGCTATTTTTTTATAGGAATTATAAAACTTGTAACAAATACACAACAAAACTGAAAAAACACTATTGTTTACCTCAGCTGTTTTTAGGAATTGCCATATTTAGTTATAATTTTATAGGTTGGCAAGTCCTATGAGGAATGCCAGCATTTTTATGTTAAACTGGCAACTTTGCTTGAAGGGATATAAAATTTATAAACTGTGAAAACTCTTTTTTATACATTTTCATATTTTTTTATATTTTAAGTATTATTAAAATTATTTTATGATTTGAACTTAGATTCTAACTCATTTAATAATTTTTTTATTTACTTATTAATTTTTATTTCAAATTAAGTATTTTAACGGTTAACAATAGCACCCTGTGCCACCATTTTTTTAATTTCATATGGCAGCATTGCCTTTTTTACATGAATGCTTTTCAGGCATGATTTGTCAAGTTCAATTTGTGCGGGAAGCAAATAAACTTTTGTTTTGCATTTCTTTTTATATTTTAAACTATAAATTTACTATGAAATCGTTTAAAATTATCAGCTTTATTTTCTGGTAATAAATATTAAAACATTAAAACTGGCTATACAATTTACATTGTTCCAATAAGCAGAATTTAACATGTCCGGACAACTGCTGTCTTCAAGGTAAACTTTTGGAATAATATTAAATTCTTTTAGATAAGATTATGTCCAGTCAGTACCTTTATAATGCTAGCAATTTAAAATTAAGTTTTGGTACAAGGGAAAGTTAAGTTTTAACAGACTGTTGCCTATCGAACATTTGATACAGCATTTATTGGGTTTGATCCCTTTGTGAAGCAAGGGAAATAGATATACATACATACATCATATACATCAAATAGATACCTATACATAGTAGATAGATTGAAATGACAAGTCCTTTTTTTCAATTTATAAACAAACTGGTCTGCTATTTAATTAAACAACGTTTCTTTAATAGTTTTAACAAATACTTTATTATAAAACACAATACTTTTTATCTAAAAACTTTGTATATATTATTGCACTACTAAATATGTTTGTATAAGATTATGTATATAGGTTTCTTAGGCACTTTATGAATATTGCTTAATTTTAAATTGACTTAATATAACCGTGTTGCATGTTAACCGTTCAAAAATTCTTCCAAAGCATCTTTGGTTTCGGTATCATCTAAAACCACCTCTTCTAAGGAAACCTCTTGTGTTAAATTGGTTTGAATTTCTTTAAAAAGAAAATATATTAAATTTATTTTATCCGCAAACAAGTAAAATATTAGTGAGTTTAAGAAAACTGTCTAATATTCGACGGTTTACGGAAAAAGTTTCCGAAAACTTTATGTTTCTTTAAAGTTTACTTACTTGGTATATGACCCTTTTGTTTAAATTCCTCCAGGTCGTGGCGAAAAGCATCATCGAATACAGCTTGACGTTCTTTTTGAATTTTCCTTAAATTGCCCTCATAATCCTTAATACGTTGTTGATGTTCGGCAGCAACTTTTTGTCTAAACAGCTCCAAATCCTCTAAAGGGAATAAAAAGAAATTAAAAGAAAAAAAAAATGTTAAATATTTTCCATAAAGTTCCAATACTTTGTAAAGACAATGTTTTTCACAATCAAGCTTACCCATTTTCTTTTGTTTATATTTCGATATTTCACATTGTTTTTCCAATATATACTCCTGTAATTCACATTCTTCACACAAATCTTCCAATTTCTCCAATTCCTTATCCACTATATGACTAAGATTATTAACTTCATCCAATGTCTCCTGACAGGTTTTTAATTTGGCCACAAGTGAGGGAATACCCGCTAGACAGTGTATTAGATCGGTCATCACTACATGATGATTTGTCATACTTTTTTCGATAGTCTGTATTTGTTTGGCCACTTCTTGAGCTTTTTTGGCATTATCCATATTATTTTGATGAATAATTTTCCAATCATCTTCATATTTGGCCAATAAATTACAGCCGGCAGCAACATTAACATCCGAAGGTACGCCCAAGTCTAAAGTAGAAGCTGCTAAAGAACTGCGACTACTACTCAAGCTCTAAAAAGAGAAATTTTCATCTAATTAAAGCAATTTTGCTAAATATTGTTTGAGACTTACCTCTGGTGTTGTGACACGTTGACGATATTGCTGCTGCAAGTTTTCGGTTATTATTGAGGCCTCTTGCAAAGCATTATTGAATTTTTTCTTTAAGCTACTTAACATTGTGGTTTAAAATTTTGTTTATTTTTATTTAGTTTAGCTTAATTGTTATTAATTTATGTTGTTAATCGGAAAAAGCAACTAGTTAGATTAGTAAACACTATCAGCTGTTGGGATAAAAAAAAATGTCAACAAGTTATCACTTTTGACACTTGCTTTAGTTAGTTTTTCTTTAGGTTGTAACGCACATAAAATACGTTCAATACGTCAAGGACTGAATTAGTCTGGACTATAGACTGACAATAATCTGGACTATAGATTGACTATAGTCTTGAATATAGTCTGTATTACAGACTGAATATAGACTGGACTATTAAATGACTATAGTCTCTACTATAGACTTACTGTAGTCTGGACTACAGACTGACTATAGTCTGGACTATAGACTGACTGTAGTCTGGACTATAGACTGACTGTAGACTGGACTATAGTCTGGACTATAGACTGACTATAGTCCTGACTATGGACTGACTATAGACAGAATATAGTCTGGACTATAGTTTGACTATAGTCTGAATATAGTCTGGACTATAGTCTCCACTATAGGCTGTCTAAAGTAAGGACTATAGACTGACTATAGTCTGGACTATAGACTGACTATAGTCTGGACTATAAAATGACTATAGTCTGGACTATAGACTGACTATAGTCTGAACTATGGACTGACTATAGTCTGAACTATAGACTGACTATAGTCTGGAGTATAGAATGACTATGGTGTGGACTATAAACTGACTATAGTCTGAACTATAGACTGGCTATAGTCTGGACTATAGACTGACTATAGTCTGGACTATAGACTGACTATAGTCTGGACTATAGACTGACTATAGTCTGGACTATAGACTGACTATAGTCTGGACTATAGACTGAATATAGTCTGGACTATAGACTGACTATAGACTGACTATAGTCTGGACTATAGACTGAGTATAGTCTGGACTATAGACTGACTATAGTCTGGACTATAGACTGACTATAGTCTGGACTATAGACTGACTATAGACTGACTATAATCTGAACTATAGACTGACTGTAGTCAGGACTATAGACTGACTATAGTCTGGACTATAGACTGACTATAGTCTGGACTATACACTGACTATAGTCTGGACTATAAACTGACTATAGTCTGGACTATAGACTGACTATAGTCTGGACTATAGACTGACTATAGTCTGGACTATAGACTGACTATAGTCTGGACTATAGACTGACTATAGTCTGGACTATAGACTGACTATAATCTGAACTATAGACTGACTGTAGTCAGGACTATAGACTGACTATAGTCTGGACTATAGACTGACTATAGTCTGGACTATAGACTGACTATAGTCTGGACTATAGACTGACTATAGTCTGGACTATAGACTGACTATAGTCTGGACTATAGACTGACTATAATCTGAACTATAGACTGACAGTAGTCAGGACTATAGACTGACTATAGTCTGGACTATAGACTGACTATAGTCTGGACTATAGACTGACTATAGTCTGGACTATAGACTGACTATAGTCTGGACTACAGACTAACTCTAGTCTTGAGTATAGACAGACTATAATCTGGAATATAAACATAAGTCTGGAATACGAACTCGGTACTATTTCATTGAACTTATTGGAATATTCTTATTTTTTAAATAAACACTGATTCACCCTGTAATCTCTTTTAAAATCAGCTGTGTTCCCCAAACCAAATAACCAACTCGGCTAAATTTTAATATTAGTTATTAAATAAGTTATTAATTAAACTCGAAATTATTTAAACTAAAATTATTATGCTAAATTTATATACAAAATGTTTACGAAAGCAACCAATACGCCTAGTGCAAGGCGCTTTAAGAAATCTAAGTGATGAGACCAATGGCCGTCGTGAGTCGCAAGTACAAAAACGTATACGTGAGGAATTGGAGCGTGATAAACAGGCTTTGAAATGGCGCAAAACTAATGAAGAGGCTGGAGATGTTGATACTAAGCTAAAGTTGTTTGCCAATCAAGAACAAACATCCGACTACATAATAATGATGCAAAAACCCATTAATCTTAATCCCAAGGAATGGCTAGCCATGTTGGAGAAGAAAAAGGAAAAGAAAGAGCGACATATGCAGCAATTTATGCCCGAGAGACATGAGATATTGGGACCCGATTTAGCCACTGCACATTTTATACTGCATCGTGGTGGCGCTGTTAAATTTCTCAATAGTCAAAATTGGATGAAAGCAGATGAGAATGGAGAATTTAAACTACCAAGCACCTATCATGCTCAATTCAAAGTGGAGGCTGTACGTTGTGACAATATGACTTTGTACTATGAGGGTTTGGAAAATATACGTTGGCTGCAGGAATTGAAATTTCTATCATTTCATAATGTTAAAACTTTCGATGATTGGTGTTTGGATAGAGTTTCTGGCTCGCAATGTCATAAATTGGAAATTCTGGATATATCGGGTACCCAGTGCACTGCTCGTGGTTTATCCTGCCTCTATCGTTTAACTAATTTAAAACTTTTGGTAGTAGATGATCCCAAAGAGTCTTTGGAATATGAATTAACTTGTTCTATGTTGGAAGAGGCTTTGCCTAAACTAAAAATTGTCAATGCCGGCTCATTGCATGAAAAATAATTCTGCAGTTCTTTCAAATTTAAGTTTCTGTACAAAAATGTTATTTATTTACAATAAATCTAAAATGACTATCATAAATCTTATCAGTTCTAATTAGCTTTAGGTTTAGTTTTCATATACTCCGCCTTAATAGCTTCTCTTTCCTCCACGGGCGGCAAATAGGGCGCTATACCTTTAGCTCTACGATCGGAACGTATTTTGTGCTGAAAAAGTTTTTATATTAAGTATGATTTTAAAGATCTATAATGCATACATACCCAGAAATCTTTGCAATTTTTATAATTGGCAAAATACACCTCACAGGCTTCTCTATCATAATTGTTTTTACTCAAACACTTGTAGGATAGTTCTTGCTCCTAGAATGTTTTAAAGTTGAGAAAATAATTTTTTTTTTGCTCTAATAGTTACTTACTTTTAAACAAGGATTATCTCTTTCGGCATTTGGATTACGAGGCATTATTTATAGTTATATTGTTCGAAAAAAAATTTCTTATATAAAATCTTAAAATTTATTCCAAAAATGTTTTGTTTATTGTTGTTATTTTTGTAAATAACAACAGCTGAGTGTTTTCATTTTCAAACTTGGCAGCATTTTCCACAACAGCTGTATGGAATGGAACAAACAGCTGGGCAAAGTAAATGTGATGTGAATTAAATTAAAGAAATATAACGGTTTTTTACCGATTAAACTATGAACTATTCTTTGATTATAGTCTAGTCTTAACTATAGTCTGGTCAACAATATTGTCTATAGTCTTGCCTATTGTCTAGTCTATAATCTTGACTATAGTCTAGTCTACATTCTTGGCTATATTCTAGTCTATAATCTAGTCTATAGTCTGGATTATAGTCTAGTCTATAGTCTGGACTATAGTCTAGTCTATAGTCTGGACTATAGTCTAGTCTATAGTCTGGACTATAGTCTAGTCTATAGTCTGGACTATAGTCTAGTCTATAGTCTGGACTATAGTCTAGTCTATAGTCTGGACTATAGTCTAGTCTATAGTCTGGACTATAGTCTAGTCTATAGTCTGGACTATAGTCTAGTCTATAGTCTGGACTATAGTCTAGTCTTTAGTCCAGACTATAGTCTAGTCTATAGTCTGGACTATAGTCTAGTCTATAGTCTGGACTATAGTCTAGTCTATAGTCTGGACTATAGTCTAGTCTATAGTCTGGACTATAGTCTAGTCTATAGTCTGGACTATAGTCTAGTCTATAGTCTGGACTATAGTCTAGTCTATAGTCTGGACTATAGTCTAGTCTATAGTCTGGACTATAGTCTAGTCTATATTCTGGACTATAGTCTAGTCTATAGTCTGGACTATAGTCTAGTCTATAGTCTGGACTATAGTCTAGTCTATAGTCTGGACTATAGTCTAGTCTATAGTCTGGACTATAGTCTAGTCTATAGTCTGGACTATAGTCTAGTCTTTAGTCTGGACTATAGTCTAGTCTATAGTCTGGACTATAGTCTAGTCTATATTCTGGACTATAGTCCGTCTATAGTCTGAACTATAGTATAGTCTATAGTCTGCACTATAGTATAGTCTATAGTCTGCACTATAGTATAGTCTATAGTCTGGACTAGTCTATAGTGTGGACTATAGTCTAGTCTATTGTATGGACTATAGTCTAGTCTATAGTCTGGACTATAGTCTAGTCTATAGTCGATACTATAGTTTAGTCTATAGTCGATACTATAGTCGATACTATAGTCTAGACAATAGTCGATACTATAGTCTGAACTATAGTGTAGTCTATAGTCTGGACTATAGTGTAGTCTATAGTCTGGACTATAGTGAAGTCTATAGTCTGGATTATAGTGAAGTCTTTAGTCTGAACTATAGTGAAGTCTATAGTCTGCACTATAGTATAGTGTATAGTCTGGACTATAGTCTAGTCTACAGTCTGCACTATAGTATAGTCTATAGTCTGGACTATAGTCTAGTCAATAGTCTGGACTATAGTCTAGTCAATAGTCTGGACTATAGTCTAGTCTATAGTCTGGACTATAGTCTAGTCTATAGTCTGGACTATAGTCTAGTCTATAGTCTGGACTATAGTCTAGTCTATAGTCTGGACTATAGTGAAGTCTATAGTCTGGATAATAGTATAGTCTATAGTCTGCACTATAGTATAGTGTATAGTCTGGACTATAGTCTAGTCTACAGTCTGGACTATAGTCTAGTCTATAGTCTGGACTATAGTCTAGTCTATAGTCTGGACTATAGTCTAGTCTATAGTCTGGACTATAGTGAAGTCTATAGTCTGGATAATAGTATAGTCTATAGTCTGCACTATAGTATAGTGTATAGTCTGGACTATAGTCTAGTCTATAGTCTGGACTATAGTCTGGACTATAGTCTAGTCTAGTCTATATTCTGGACTATAGTCCGTCTATAGTCTGAACTATAGTATAGTCTATAGTCTGCACTATAGTATAGTCTATAGTCTAGACTATAGTATAGTCTATAGTCTGGACTAGTCTATAGTGTGGACTATAGTCTAGTCTATTGTATGGACTATAGTCTAGTCTATAGTCTGGACTATAGTCTAGTCTATAGTCGATACTATAGTTTAGTCTATAGTCGATACTATAGTCTATACAATAGTCGATACTATAGTCTGAACTATAGTGTAGTCTATAGTCTGGACTATAGTGTAGTCTATAGTCTGGACTATAGTGAAGTCTATAGTCTGGATTATAGTGAAGTCTATAGTCTGAACTATAGTGAAGTCTATAGTCTGCACTATAGTATAGTGTATAGTCTGGACTATAGTCTAGTCTACAGTCTGCACTATAGTATAGTCTATAGTCTGGACTATAGTCTAGTCTATAGTCTGGACTATAGTCTAGTCAATAGTCTGGACTATAGTCTAGTCTATAGTCTGGACTATAGTCTAGTCTATAGTCTGGACTATAGTGAAGTCTATAGTCTGGATAATAGTATAGTCTATAGTCTGCACTATAGTATAGTGTATAGTCTGGACTATAGTATAGTCTACAGTCTGGACTATAGTATAGTCTATAGGCTGGACTATAGTATAGTATATAGTCTGGACTATAGTTTAGTCTATAGTGTGGACTATAGTCTAGTCTATAGTCTGGACTATAGTCTAGTCTATAGTCTGGACTATAGTCTAGTTTATAGTCTGGCCTATAGTCTAGTCTATAGTCTGGACTATAGTCTAGTCTATAGTCTGGACTATAGTCTAGTCTATAGTCTGGACTATAGTCTAGTCTTTAGTCCATACTATAGTCTAGTCTATAGTCTGGACTATAGTCTAGTCTATAGTCAGGACTATAGTCTAGTCTATAGTCTGGACTATAGTCTAGTCTATAGTCTGGACTATAGTCTAGTCTATAGTCTGGACTATAGTCTAGTCTATAGTCTGGACTATAGTCTAGTCTATAGTCTGGACTATAGTCTAGTCTATAGTCTGGACTATAGTCTAGTCTATAATCTGGACTATAGTTTAATATATAGTCTGGACTATATTCTAGTCTATAGTCTTGACTATATTCTAGTCTATAGCCTTGTCTATATTCTTGTCCATAATCTTGACTGTAGTCTTCGCAATAGTATACTTTAAGTCTCTTAACTTTTGAGTTAAGAGGCTTCTCCTCAAGTATTAGTGTAACCTTTGACCTCTTATTATTATCTAAAACAGACTCCATTTTTTTAAGTTTTATCCAAAACTATATATTTATGTATTTTTTACATGTTTTCATATTTTTTTGTTGTTTTATTTTTTTAGGAATAACTTACGATATTTTGTAAAAATATTAAAGAATAAACATAACTTAAGAAAAGAAAACAAAAAAAAAAAAGAAAAAAACTAAAATTAAGAAAATTTTGTGGAAAATAAAGAAGAAAAAAGGAAATTACACATTTTGATTTAATTTAATAAGTATGTACTAATATAAAAATATAAAGAGTTTATATAGTATTGTGTAAATGTTTATAAGCTTTAAACTAAGCTTTCAATAACAATGATGTTGTTATAAAAAATCTGATATAATGACGGTTAATATTTAATGTTTTGCGATTTAAATTTAACACACCCCTATAAGGACACGACTTATTTACTATGTAAGTATAATAAAAAAAATTAACAAAAAACGTTGTGGCAATTTAATTAATCTTTAAGATGTTTTTGTTTAAGAGATTAAAAGTCTATTACACGCATAGAAGAAACGAAACTGTTTAGAATTTCAAATTAAAACCGGGTCCCATGGCTAATTGTCTTTGATCGATACCAGCATTTAGGACAAAGCCGGTATTAGCAGAAGTTTTCTTATTTCCGGTTATAATGCCAGATATAATTTTACCGCCACTACCGGTGCCAGCCAGATCATCTTTACCCAATTGTTTAAATTGGGAACCTCCGGAAGGTGGTTTCGGTGAGGAGGCCAGAGCTTTGCGTGCACCCAATTCACTTTTAGCTGGCCAGGTGGGAAACATGGATGGATCAATAGGTACTGGCAGTTCTTTGAAATATTGATGTTTTAAATGCGGTATCGGCGGACAATCTTTGTTTGGGATCATAGGTTAAAAGACCCTGTAATAAGTCAATGCCGGCTTCGGAAGTTTTGTCGGCAAAATGTTTCTCAAACTGGACACGGGATATCGGCAAATTGCGAGTTTTGGCTAAGCATATTTTGACCGCTGGTAGTTGATTGTAGCCAGGCCAAATTTTCTCGTTGGGAGTTCCCAGTTCCTATAAATGGAAAAAGAAGTCAAATGAAAATTAATATGTTTGAAGAATGTGATACTTGAAGATGTGGATACTTGGGAGTTAATTAGAATTAGAAGTAAGTAAGTAAGTAAGTAAGTAAGTAGTAAAGTAAGTAAGTAAGTAGTAAGTAAGTAAGTAAGTAAGTAAGTAAGTAAGTAAGTAAGTACGTAAGTAAGTATCCGTCCGTCCGTCCGTCCGTCGTCCGTCCGTCCGTCCTCCGTCCGTCCGTCCGTCCGTCCGTCCGTCCGTCCGTCCGTCCGTCGTCCTCCGTCCGTCCGTCGTCCGTCCGTCCGTCGTCCGTCCGTCCGTCGTCCGTCCGTCCGTCCGTCCGTCCTCCGTCCGTCCGTCCGTCCGTCCGTCCGTCCGTCCGTCCGCCGTCCGTCCGTCCGTCGTCGTCCGTCCGTCCGTCCGTCCGTCCGTCCTCCGTCCGTCCGTCCGTCGTCCTCCTCCGTCCGTCCGTCCGTCCGTCCGTCCGTCCGTCCGTCCGTCCGTCCGTCCGTCCGTCCGTCCGTCCGTCCGTCCGTCCGTCTCGTCCGTCCGTCCGTCCGTCGTCCGTCCTCCGTCCGTCCGTCCGTCCCCTCGTCCGTGCGTCCGTCCGTCCGTCGCTCCTTTTCCTTGCTCCTCGCCTTCCTCCGGGGTTCCGCGTTCTCCCGCCCTTTTATTCAATGTGGTTGGCAGCAATGCCGAGGGCATGGCAGGCTTACTTTATGCATAAATAACCTAGCTGATTAAAGCGCTGTAGTAAGCTATCAGCCTAATCCCTATACATCATCAGTGAATGGATAGTCCGGCGGAAAATGTCTAAT